GAATTGATTGACAGGTCACCCCTCTCCTCATCACATCTGACTGTGCAGAGATTGTCCTCTCTGATAAACAGGAGTGTGTGTGTGTGTGTGTGTGTTCATTGATCGGGGTAAACGCCCACATGCATAAACACACATTAGGGGGGTGTATTGAGAAGAATCACAACACAGGGGCAAAGCTACGACATACTGCTATACACTGATATAAAAATGTTTATGTTTATCTTTTAGCGCAGCAGTGAGTATAAAATATTTTTGAGACGGAACTCACCACAGACGTTGTGACCAGATGTGGACCAGCAGAGATGAGGGAGTGGGCGGAGCCATGACTACACTAGGTGATTGGATCATTGTAGGTTGTGTTTTTTCTTGTTTCTTTTTATCTTCCTTTTTTTGATTTGACATAACGAATAAAAAATTAGAGTGCAAAAAAAACAAAACAAACAACAACCCCCCCCCAAACATCTTAAATAGTACATTTATACTCAGGTCCAGTATAATTTATTATGATTTGTAAAGTAGGGGTCCCTCTTATGTGCCGTTGCAATTCACCCAGGCTGCCACACAAGGGGCCATTAAAACGTGGTTGCAACTCATAGCCAGGAGTACAAAAATTAAACAAAGTGTAGTGAGAAAAAAGTTAAACACATGAAGGTAAGAGTCCACACGGTTCACATTTAATGCCCTGGGCTTTATTTGTCTTATTTTTTCATCAGTTTTGTCACATTTTTTTTTTAGTCTTTTCAGCCTCCAGGTGGGACAAGTAAACCTCAAGGATAAATCCTGCCATTGGACTGGGCATTCAGATTCAGACAAAGAGCACAAGCACTACTAAGTAATGCTGCCTTTGTGCCTAACTCTTCACAGAAGAGAGAACAACTACTAAAAAATTATTCCCCATAGGAAGGCACCCAATACTTGTGGTTGTTGGCCTTGCAGCCGTCTGGAGATTCTTTTGTTTCCACATAAAGAAAAACAAATACGAAGGAAAAAAAAAGAGGGAGAAATTTGGAGAGAATGGAGCCGTGTTCCGTCACGACTGCGCTCGTTCTCTCATTAGCATTTTTTTCTTGTTATTTAAAAACTTGGAATGATGAAATACATACAGCGTGATGTGGGCTTCATTCTTTTACTTTAAATATATAAACAGACTGTGTGTCATCTATTATGGAGATGAATTGAATTGATGTGTATAAAAAAAGAAAAAGAAAAGAAAAACAAAATCATGAATGCTAAACAGCAGCCAAGCTAAGATGAAGTGTACGGAGGCTTTGAAGAGTTCAAGATGAAAGCCTATGGCCTTTGAAGAGAGACACTGGACGATGAAAGGAGGTTCTGAGGGAGGACGGAGTATCCAGGGGGAGAAAGATGACAAATGAAAGGAACACATCCATCAGCCAGCCTTCGCAGCTTAAACCAAGAAACATGACTGAACAGGCCGTCGGCACTCAGGCTGTTTCATTCGCCAAAGACTTCTTGGCTGGTGGCGTGGCAGCAGCCGTCTCTAAAACAACCGTGGCCCCCATCGAGAGGGTCAAGCTTCTGCTCCAGGTCCAACACGCCAGTCGACAGATCACCAAAGACCAGCAGTACAAGGGCATCGTGGACTGCATTGTGCGTATACCCAAAGAGCAGGGAGTCCTCTCGTTCTGGAGAGGAAACCTCGCCAACGTCATCAGGTACTTCCCCACCCAGGCCCTCAACTTCGCCTTTAAAGACAAGTACAAGGCTGTGTTCCTGGACGGTGTGGACAGTAGAACTCAATTCTGGAGGTACTTTGCTGGTAACCTAGCCTCTGGAGGTGCTGCTGGCGCCACCTCCCTGTGTTTTGTGTATCCACTAGACTTTGCCCGTACTCGTCTAGCCGCTGACGTGGGAAAGGCTGGAGCAGAAAGGGAGTTTAACGGTCTGGGGGACTGTCTGATAAAGGTCTTTCAGTCTGACGGTCTGAAAGGTTTGTACCAGGGTTTTAACGTGTCAGTGCAGGGCATCATCATCTACAGAGCCGCTTACTTCGGAATCTACGACACGGCCAAAGGGATGCTGCCGGACCCAAAGAACACCCCCATACTGGTGAGTTGGATGATCGCACAGACGGTGACGGCCGTAGCTGGTCTGGCTTCGTACCCCCTCGACACTGTCCGCAGACGCATGATGATGCAATCTGGACGGAAAGGAGCGGACATCATGTACAGTGGGACCATCGACTGCTGGAGGAAGATCTCACGTGATGAAGGCATCAAGGCTTTCTTCAAAGGAGCCTTGTCTAACGTTCTCAGGGGAATGGGCGGGGCCTTTGTACTGGTGATATATGATGAGCTCAAGAAAATCATCTGAGTATGGTCAGCATCAACAGCATTGGCCATCTTAGGGCTGTGCCTTTTCCCCCAAAATTTGTGGACTTTTTTTTTTTTTGGAATTTTGGAGTGTGGAAGAGCAGAACTGTCCTGTTTGACTTGGTTGGCTAAAGTCAGACTGTCGTCTTTAGTCGACACTCAAGGATCAATAAATGAAAAAAACTAACCCTAGTGTTGTGGCTCATTTTCAAATCTCTTCAACCAATTAAAAAGACGAAGGTGACTAGAATCACCATAAACCTCTGTTACTGTCATCCTTTTACTGATGGAAAAGGAGTTGACTTGTCTTTTTTTTTTTTTTACATAGTGTTTTAAACCCATAAATGTGATGTGATAATTAAACTTAAGAAAATAAGTTACAGCCCTGATATCTCATTTTTTACTGCGTGAACCACCACATTTACTTGGTTTGTACATCGACTAAAATTCTGGGGCAATAGGTAAAAAGCATGTAATGATGTTTTCATGCTTCACAGTTAATATGTCAGTTCAAGTACATTCATATGTTTAATGGCAATGTTTTTCCTTTTTAAGTTAAGTTAAATCCTCATTATCAGAATGTGTTTAGAAAACGGAAAAATAACGCATCTACCAAAGAAAAAATAATTTTGGGGGGGGGGGGGGGGGTTTTGGGATTTTTTGGGAAACCAA